CTTTCTTTTCTCTCCTTTTTCTCGTCTCTCCCTACCCCTCCCTCTTGTCGGCACCTTAGCTTGGGATGCTACTAGGGGCTCCTGGCCTTCCTACTAGGTGTTAGGTGTTTCTTTGACGCTACTAGAGGTCCCTGGCCTTTCCACTACTTGGGGACAAAGAGTCTCACACCACCTATGGCGCGGAGCTTAAAAATCTTGCCTCCCCTCGGGGAGGCGTGTGTGTGTAACCCTTGGAATCATAGGGATCCTTTCGGATTGTTTTAGCTTCACTGTTGTTTTCCTTGTGTAGCAGGGGCGTGTGGCACTCTCGTCCTACCACACGCAACGAAGCTGTGGGCGAGAGTGGGAAGGGAAACTTGGCCAGTTTCCTGTACCTGCTGTGATCATTACTCCAATCTCCGGGCCCTGCTTGTACCTAAAACAAGAAATCCTGCCTTTGCACCGGTTTGCTCTCGGCAGTCACGCATAGGGCTTTGGTTTCGGACGACGTCACTCTGTCGCTCGGTCGTTCGACGGTTCCTTTAGAGTTGATGGCCACGCTGAACTTGATGGACCTCCACTTCCTTTTCAGGTTTCCTTACCTGTACTCTTAGGAATTGGTAACCTAGGCCGGCGTGTGGCACCGCTTTCAGTTCAGTACATGCTATCCTAAGTGTGTGACACATGCTCTATGATAGTACACACCCAGCTTCCAACAATGAACCGAATGCCGGCTCTGCCTAGATTCGAAGTGATCCCCGCTCAATGCTTTCTACGGCTTTGCTTCTGGGGCAAACCCCGAAGAATGACGTCGATCGGCTCCACCTCCACGTCTCTTCGCATCTCGCTGGAGAGCAGCTTCAAGTCCTCTCGAGCCATCAAACACCGGCGCCCGGACAGCGAACCCCCAAGCGCTTTGGGGGCCGCGGAAGCTCTAGTGGGAGCGAAGCTTCCCTCATTCCTTATGAGTCGCACTAGTACTCACTAGTCACTGCAATGTAGCCGTGTGTGCTTCAGCTGTTGTGAACAGGTATAGTCAACTCGTTGAACTGTCCGCACAGTGGATCACCCATGAATGAAGCAAGAGAGGTTGGGGTGATTAACATTGAGAGGTCTCGAAAGAAAAACATTCGGAAATTTGGAGCATGATCAGATTCTAGGTCATGGATGTTCATTCAAGAAAGTCTTGCCCTTTGAATAGACGGCCGTAGAAATTACTCCAATTTCCGAATGGGCACTCTCTCGCACACACCGACCTTATTTTCTCATGGTTTCTCCACCCGATCCGGTCACTGAAGATGGCTGGTGTCTGTCTCGGCAACTGTCCAGACACTTGGAAGATACCGTGTATATACATAATATATGTATGCACCGTAAATACATGTACATTGTACATCTTATACCTGTATACTGTGCATATATCATATATACTATATACTATATATATAGTTATATATACGCGTATTTATAGAGATACAGAGATACACGTCTGCATGTGTGCATCTCCGTAGACGTCTTAGTGGCCGCTCGATCTCCACCCGACTTTCCACGAAACAGCTGGTTTCGGTGTCCGTCCGGCCTTCAGCTGGTTCGCGACCTCACCTTGGAACTTGCCGAGCTCTTCCTTCACCTGCCTGCCAGCACATGGTCCATGATAGCCATTGTGACACCGACCATCCAGAAATTCCAAACGTCGATTCGTGCTTTCGGCTTGGAAGGCTTGGAGTTGCTTGACACATGCTCTAATGTGTCCTCTTTGCTTTCTTCGGCACACAAGGCCGAGCTCTCTAGCTCGTTTGGTTGGGAGAACCATCGGCCAACTCCCTACGTCCGGGTCGATGTGCGCCAGGATCGATTCAGACGCCACAATCCTTTGGGAGATGTTCGCCAAATCCCTCTGCATCTTCAGGGCTGCGCGTCTTCTGTTCTGTGATTTCGAGTCAGGTCTGCCAGGTCCAGGTCTCAGTTGGCCCATAGACGCTATCTAACATCGTTAAAGGGTATAGACTCTTAACTCCTACAGTAACATACAGTAACCAATAGCGCGACTTGCGGTCCCTGTCCGTCACGGCCTTTCATAGGCAGTGAAGATACAGTAACCAATAAAACCGCCCATACGAAGAGGTGTTGGAATCCAAATGAGGTGGCATCTTATTGATCAATTTAGAAAGAACAAATCAAAGCGAAACCCTGGGGACGCGCCGCTGAAACGCCTGGCGATCTCCTTCACTTCCGAGACCACCAAAGCGGCGGCCGCCTCGAATTCACTCGGTCTCGGCAGGAGCAGTGTGCCTTCTTGCAGAACGGTTCATCTATTAACATGGAACCTGAAAACCCCTGGTGGTAGAGGAAAATTGCGTTGCAAAGGTCCATATTCAGGTTCCATGTTGGTCTCTTCCGGGGAGTCTCGCAGAACGGCTCATCGAATTCATGCAGAACGGTTCCTTTCGTTACCTGCGCGAACCGCCACGGAGATCGTTCGTCCGAAGATGATGGAGCCTTTCCTTTTGACCCAACTGACGCCCTGAAGCTTCCTGTCACCTTCAGCTGGACTCAAACCACATCGCCACTCAAGAAAGGACACTCCTTCCCGCGTCGCTCCCCATGTCTTCGGCCCCAAAAGCGGTGCGCTCCGGTGCGCTCCCCGCAGGTCCCGCGACCCCCGTGCGTCGGACGGAGGCCGGACGGTGGCCTCTGGTGCCGCAGCCTCGGGTGTGGAGTGTTTGGCTGAATGACTTCCAAAGACTTCGTTGGAATTGGTTGGACTCGGAAATCTGTCAAAAATCCAGCACTCTGCACCAGTCTCAACAGGATCCCCAGCCCAAATCCCCACAATTCACTCCTTCATTCTCGTGACGGACGCTCGTAGCTCTCCAAGATGCCTGTGGACGTTCGCCACCCTCTGGTGTCATGACCTTCTCTAAAGCGCCGGCCGCCTTGGCCTGGCGTCGCCACACGGAAAACCACCAGCAAGCAGGGCGACGGCTCTTGATTAATACACCCCCCCAACTTAAATTGAAAAACCTCGTTCCATGGGGGGTTATCAGTCAAGAGTCTACATTCTCTGTACATCTTGTCAATGCAGATAAGAGATGGGCAAAGGTCAAGAGAGTTCCAGGATGTATGGTGACAGCCTCTACGGCTTGGCAAGGAAAGAAGCTCCACCCCGCTAGCCCAAGACTCTTTCAAAGTACTAGCTTTGCGGCAGAGCCCTCCCTCTGTCAGGTACGTTGCAGAATTTAATGCAGAAATTCGAGGAATTAGAGGAAGTAAAGCACCTTTTGTTGCATGGGCTTTCTTGAAAAAGCATCGCCTTTCCTGAGAAGACTTGCAAACATCCACCGGTTTCGAACCCTGCCACTGCGGCACTCCAGCACCCACTGGATGGTCGTTCTTTTTCCTTTTGTCGCCGGTCCCAGTACTTCGAGGCCAGACCTGGAGGCGGTGGCACATCGCCCGCAACCGGCCGTTCGGGGGTCATGTGCCGGATGAAGGGAAAGGCCTCCGATCTTTCGAACGAATGACGCTCCTTTGGCTGGGAGACTGGGAGACTGGAAATAAGAATGGCAATGTAAAACCACCCGTCAAAAGAGGAAAATGGTCATCCTTGCGGGGCACCATCCACTTCCATGATGAGTCCGGGATGATCTAGCGAAGTCTCCCCAGCGATGCGAGGTGGTATGGCGTTTTTCGAGTAACATCCCATCTTGAACCCCTCATTCCGGGCCTAGCACCATCGGTGGTGCAACTGTTTGTCTGTCTCCCTTGGGCAGGAAAGAGGGTCCACAAATACATAGAAACCAGTTCCAAACCTTGCCAATACATTTACAAGAATCGTTGGTGGGCAACTTTGACTGGGGAGACTTCTAAAGACAGATCGCCACCCGCCTGAATGATCTCGTCCTGGGACTTATATAAGAGAGGAAGTCAAACATCCATCCCGCAACATGAGACAACATGAGACAACAATGATTGAGAAAGGCCGACGGGGAACCCTCAGCTAAAAATGGAAAAAATCATGGAACATCATGTGGCCTTGGTACCTGACCCATCCTCTGGAAGCAAAGAACTGCCACGCCAAGCCACTCAGTCGCTGTAGCTGTAGCTCTCATCATCCGACTTGCTATCGTGGCGTAGCAACGCCTGTCACGTCACCCGGTCTCGTGAGTTTCACGCAGTTGCGCCGCCCGTTTCACATCGTTTCCCCCAAGCTGAAGCGTGCTTGAAGTGGACCAAGTCTACTATCATCGTGTATGATTTCACCCCCCACCTACGGCCGGGCTATCAAAAAGAATATATATATATATCAAAAAGAAAATTAATTTGTATCAAAAACAAAATCTCTGCCAACCGCCTTGGCAGCACTGTGCGATGTGAATCTGGATGTGCAGATTTCGTGGCGCGCGAAGCACTTTGAGCATCTCCAGTAGCAGATTTCGTGGCAGGAGCCGCACTTTGTGCACTGGAACTGCAGATTTCGTGGCAGGCGCAGCAGCACTTTGAGCACCTCCAGTAGCAGATTTCGTGGCAGGAGCGGCACTTTGCGCACTGGAACTGCAGATTTCGTGGCAGGCGCGGCAGCACTTTGAGCACCTCCAGTAGCAGGTTTCGTGGCAGGAGCGGCACTTTGTGCATTGGAAGTGCAAATTTGTGGCAGGCACAGCATTTTGAGCACCTCCAGTAGCAGGTTTCGTGGCAGGGAAGTGAACCTCGAAGCGCAGATTGCGCGAACCTCTGTCTACTTGAGAGAGGAGGGGGTGAACGAAAGGTAGCAGGCAATCACAAGTAACCCTGGTAGAAGTCCACGACGGCGTGAACCGGCGCAGGGGGGATTTGATCCAGGGGGGGGGCCCCCCCCCCCCCGACGAACAGAATCAACTCTTACAGGACCAAATTCAATGCACAATCCCAACTCCTGATTGTAATACATTTTTGCTAAAGCAAGGAGAACTCAGGTAGCTCAAGCTACCTTTCGTGATAAGCGCAGACTTCGTGGCAAGCGCAGCGATTGCGAACCTTGAAGTGCAGCTTGCGTGGCGTTTGCAAAATTCTGTGGATCTCAAGACCTGTGAAAAGAGCTCTTGATATCTCTGGATCTGAACATCTTTCTACACCCACTGCAAGTCTAGACCCCTAGAACTTAGATTTCAACACCTCCCTGGATCTCAAGACTCAAGACCTCTAAACCTCCATCTTTAGGTCTGTGGGTTTCTAGACGTCTACACCTGCAGATCCGTCTGGATCTCCAGGCCTCAGACCTCTCTGCATCTCAACCGTGGTCTCTCTGAATTTCACGATGGCTCACAAAACCACAAGACCTGTGTATGGCTCACAAAAGGTCTGCTATGTTGGAATGGCACCTTCCTCCTCTAGAGTTTGTGCTGACAACAGGTCTGCTCCTGTAAATTTTGCCCTCACATGGGTCACAAAAGGTCTACTGCTCCTCTAAATTTTGCTCACAAAAGGTCTGCTACCTTGGCGTGGCACCTAAAGTTTATTTCCGGGTGGCTCACAAAAGGTCTGCTACGTTGGAATAGCCAGTTCTACCCTCGGGTTGCTCACATAACAAAGGCCTGCTACGTTGGAATGGCAACTTCTTCCTCTAAGTTTTAACCTCGCAAGGCTAACAAAAGGTCTGCAACGTTGGAATGGTCCCTTCCTCTTCAAAATGTTGCCCTCAGGTGGCTCACAAAAGGTTTGCCACCTCACGAATGGCACTTTCTTCATCTAAATTTTACCGTCAGGGTGGCTCACCAAAAAAAGGTCTGCTGTCTGGCGATAAAAGGTCTGCTACGGTGCGTCACAGGATGTATGACCAGATTCCAAATCACCTTGAACGCGTCTTGCCTCGAAAGTACAGACCCAAGGACCTGAAGACCAGGACGAAGGACCAAAGGACCAGAGGACCAAAGGACCAGAGGACCAAGGGACCAGAGGACCAAGGGACCAGAGGACCAAGGGACCAGAGGGACCAGGGGATCAAGGGAGCAGGGGACCAAGGGACCAGGACAAAGGGACCAAAGGACCAAGCGACCAGGGAACCAGCAGACCAGGACCAAAGGAGTAGGGGGAATTTTATGTTTGATACGAATTAATGTTTTTTTGATAGGAATCAATTTTCTTTTTGATGGGGATCAATTTTCTTTTTGATAGGTATCCCCCCACCTACCTACTCTACCATGTCTAAAGATGGAGCCCTCTCCAGGATTTGAACTTCCGATGCCATTCACCATTCTCCATTCTCCTTACTAGTAGATACTAGTAGCTCCTGGCCTTACTACTAGGAACAAGAAAACTACTAGGAGCAAAGGGCATCGCTACGAACGGAGCGATCGGACGCTAGGAACGTAGCGCTCCTGGCTTGTTCACACCTCGGCCCGGGCCGATGGCCGACCTTCAAGAGCTCCAAGGGCTTCTTGTCTGCTGGCACGCCCTTCCGCTTGGCGAGGTCTTGCAAGCTGGCACTTAAGGCCGCCCAGGCCTTCTTATCCTCGTGCTGGGCGGGCAAGGGGAGCTGTGGCCACCTCTGCGTTCCCACCGCACTCATACCCATTTTTGAAAAACACACTCAAAACCAAGCGTGGAAGTGGACATGTTGCTTCCACCGTTTCCACCCCTCATTTCAGGAGATTCTAGAGGAAAAGTAATCAAAGAGGCTCTTTATTGGGTGCTTGAAAGAGTCCTCGTCCAGCATCTTCTTGAGGCTAACCACCAGCGCGGTGAGTTCCGCCTATCGAAAGACATGGATTGAGCCAAAAGAGTATAAGGAATTTTATGGAGACTATGGAGTGAAGACCCTTATCTGAGTCGGTGATTCATGCAAATATCATCGAAAATATCGGCGAACATCTGTGAACAAATTCTAGGCCATGTTCTGTAGTGAGAGCAGACTACCATCCAAGGCAGCATCTTTCGGGCCTCCTCCTCCGCCGGCCGGCCATGCTTCGCCAGAAACTCCATCACCTCCGGTGAACAAAATCAACGATTCTCAACCATCATGGCATGGAGGGATCAAACTCCATACCCCTCCTCTGTGCACAAGGTGGCCAGCACGGGACAAGGGGACGAGAGGTAGCAAACCTGCCTCCTCAGTTCCCCCCAGAAGACCTCCAAGACTCTAAGCAAATCAAGACTCCACCATTCTTGCGACAAAACATGCCCAGCAAAACGCCGGGCCCTAATACAACAGCAAAGTGAAGCACACAGCATTGACTGCTACCGTTCACCTGTGGTTCACCCCCTCCAAGGCACCACCCTAAACCCAAACAATCGACCGACACCTGACCAGCAATTTGATGGATCAGGTGTTGAGGTGCTGACCCACAAGCACGTCACACCCACCGAAAACGTCAAGCTTCCACCACCCACCCAGGCGACCTCCGTTCGCTTGGCCGCCAAGGTGGCCTGGAGCTCCTCGTTGGAGCGGGCGAGGGGGTGAGTGCGTGTGTGCGTGCGTGACTGACTGACCGACGTGCCGGGTATCCTCTGAAGACCTCTCGTCCTTACAACCCACAAGTCCCCCCCGAGCACCGTCCTCCCCCACCCGGAAAAACCCATCGATCGGCGACTGGGCCGGTTGGGACGTGCCGTTGGGACGTGGCATGGGACGTGCCGTTGGGACGTGGCATGGGACGTGCCGTTGGGTCCGGTGGTCTGGGTGTCTCGAAACGTGAGGGGAAGACCTCACCAGGCCATGGCCATGCGGGCCAGGCAGTTTTGCGGGGGCCAGTGCGCGCCATTTGGAACGTCCCAAGCGTCGCTGGGTGGCTTTCAGAGGTGAGGTATTCACCCAAAATTCCATGTCCAATGTTGATTCCAGATCTAAAGCATTGGACAAGACCCGAACACACGCCGTCCTGACCACTCTGATGTAGTTTGCCCAGCTTCACGCTCTCACTGGCCAGCCAGGTATTCAGCTCCTGAAATAGGCGAAAGTTACCGCAAAAAACACCCACCCGGCCGGGCCCTACTTCCAAACCTGGATGGTTGTGGGGCAGACCAACTGTACCCTCTTTGCACCGTTTGTATGCCTAGCCATGGCGTTCCACTTCTTAGCTGGGCCGATCCACCCATTCTTCCACCACATGGCGACCCCCTCGCTCCTCCTGAAAGGTGTCCAGGTGACCTTGGAGCGCTGCCCGGTCCATCACCTCATCTTCGGCCTCTTCAGCCTCTTCGGCGTCTTCGCGCGAGCGCGACCGGGACGCCCGCCGCTTCAGCGTGATGACGATGGGCTTGGCCATGAAGAACCGCTCGCGTGGCGCGTGCCGCCACGCCCGGCCCAACCACTGAGCCAAACAGCAGGGACCAGGCGGAGACTGAAAGGCGCTGATCCGCCGATGTGGTCCTGGTTTTGTTTGCATGCTTCTGTTTGCCTGGTAGGGATCAAGCTCTGGTTTTTCAGAGATCTCCAAATGTCGCAGTTTGTCCCAGTAAAACATGACCTCAACTCACATGAACTCGGACGTTTGACCCACCAACTATGGCAAGGTTTGAACCTCAAAGGCAGGAGAAGTGGTGGCCCTGCGTGGTTCAGCAACCCTCACAGAAAGCCTCGCAAAAGCAAACTCAGAAAAATCCTGGGTCCCGGATCTCCCCTCAAGCATCGATCTGGGACACTGAACAGAATTGATTTGGGGATTTTCGGTTCACCCAAGATGGATTTTGTTGTTTGCTTTGGATGTTTGGATTCCTTCAATAGGTGAAACATGCTGAAAGAGTCTCGATCAATCAGATGGGGATGGGCCCACAGAGTGAGCAGCAAAGATCAGGTGCAGATGGATCTAAAACCTCCAAGCCTCCAATATGGTCCATCCAGATCTCCGGGTGCGGATGGGTCCACACTCCCCCACTCTCCGCGCTCTCCGCACTCTCCGCACTCCTCGCCTTGACTTCTTCCAGGCATGGCTCCTCTTCGAGACCCAAGGCCTCCCAGAACAGCAGGCGGGGGCAGGGGAAGCTTCTGGTTCTTTCGTGGCTTTGGTTTCCGAACCCTAATTGCCCGGTTTTCCTAGATATATAGGGCGAAGGAAAGTTTGACTGTGCTGCACCCAGCAAATGAAACGACCTTGGAAATTTGACCCAAATGTGACCAGTCTTGAATGAAGAACTTTGGAAGCATAGACATCCTTCCTGCCACCTCCTGAAGGTAATCACCCCCTTCCTGGAGCCACTTTTCCCTCACATGCAGCTCCGACGAAGACGCATGGTCGACCAAGGTTGGCACACTTCCCAACCCTCAGGGTGAGCTTGTGGAGCCGGCCATGCCAAGCTCCAGGGGGGCCGGCCGGGGTGCTGCCAGGTGCTGCCAGGCACGCGTTTCGGTGGTCTGAACATGAAACCGTGATGTGGGTGTGTATTGAAATAAGGAGGGGTAGACTGGTCGATCTTCCTTCTTCCAAAAATTGCCTTTGGTAACCCAGCTCGGTGACATGATTCGCCCGAATGTTGGTGTTCGGATTGTATTTGGTAGCATCTACAAGTAGCGCCAAACCAGTCCCCTGTGGTCCAACGACACGTGGCAGGTGCACGAATCCACGGCTTTTGAGTCTGCAGGGGGGCTCCAGCACATTCTTGAGAAAATGAATTCATGTGTGCTCTCCCTTTCTCTCTCACTCTCACTCTCTTGTTTCCTCACGGTGTCTTTGTGGAACAGTTGCTGAACCTCCATGACAATGGTGGTAAAAAAGAAAAGGACTTCACCCAAGCCAACTCGACAACCAGAAACACAGCGGCGGCTCTTTTCTAGTGTCCCAAATGCCTAGAAGGTCCTGAGGCCCACTCTTGGGGCCAGAAACTCAACTGGAACTAGAACCGTCCTCAAGTAGATAGACTCCACACTCCCCCAAGCAATTCGCCTCATTGAAGGCTACCAGGCTACCCATGCAAGAGCTGGAACCTTTTGGCTTTGCCGCTTTGCCCTCTCAATGTCCTCCATCTATCTACTGAAGGTTGTACAACCTTTGGGGACGATCTCCGCTAGCCGCCCATCTCAGATCTTCCTTGTCAAGCCTGGCGTCACCGAAGCGATGTCTCCGACGAAACCGGATAGGGCGCAGTTATGGTTTCTCATCAATGGGGCACCACCGGGCAACGCTCAAAGGATGCCAAGGCGTTGAACGGGTGATGAGGGGCGTGTATCTGTGGCACTGTCGTGAATTGATGGGATTCTACAATTCCGTATGGCATGCAATTGGGAGGGGGGCCTACGAGCTCTTACAAGTGTCCACTGTTTGTGGGCCATGGTGGAACCAAAAGGATTGGGAGTTTGAGCCAAGGTTGCCATCACTCGCAATTAAGTTGCCATCCGTTCACCAGGCCTTTGAAGATCTGCTCTTTGAACTCTGGCGCCACGGCCTCGCCACACAAAAGTGCGAATTCCAGCAAGTCCAGCGGCCACACGCTTGACATGCTTGCCTCCTTAACCGTCCTTCCAAACTCGTTAAAAGCTCCTTAAAGCTCCTCAGACTCGATGCAAAGAGGTCCTGACTTTGTGGAAGGTGCTGTTGGTTTGGGCTCGCTCGGGATGATGATATGTCCAGGGGGCTGATGAAGACGAAGTCCCAAAAGAGTGTGACCCGCACCCCTCAGAAGAAGCACCAAAGACGAGAAATGCGGCAAACATCGGCAAACGGACAGAATCTACCCTGGTTCGACCAGTGCAGGGAAAATCCTGGAATTCATCCAGGCCTTGGCATCCACATAGGTGGCCAGCAAGGCTTCCACCAGCGCTTTGCTCTTCACCTCCGCCTCCTCGGCAGAAATCCGGTGAAACATGGATCACCCCAAACGAGGAGCGAAGGAGTGACTTCAGAAAAGCAGTGGGATGTGCTGGGCCTGTTTTGGATGTGCTGGGCACCTTTGACATGCTGAAGTTGATCCACCTTTGACTCTCCAGTCTGAGTGACCCGGCATGCTTGCCCATCTGCAAGTGGATGCTACCCTGGCCAAGGCAAAGCTGTCTGAGTGTCAGGCAGTTCACTTCAAAATCCTGTACCAACAGGTTGGTTGAGAGTTGAGCGGCAGAAAAAGGACTCACTCAATTCAATGACTGAGAGAGATCTTCCAAAGGTCCAATGCCACCAGCGTGGAACCTGTCAAAGAAGGCCACGTTTCATGCTCATGTGACTCACGTGTGGTTGCTTGGTCCGGCAGAGCTGCGCAAGGTTCGAGGTGACGCTACCGGGGTGGGCCAGATCAAAGGCTGGACACAAGGTGAGGATCCTTCCCAATTCCCGGTGGCTATGCCCCCTTTTCCCAACTGAACTTGTGAAAAGGGCAGGAGGTAAGGATGGATGTTGGATGGAAAGAATCTCTCTCTCCCTCTCACTTATCGCCCTCAGATCGAACCTTCCCCAGCTAGGCGCCGATCAGCAGCTTCATTAAGACAGTCTAGACTCTAGTCCACGGCTCAAGTACCATCAATCAACATGGGCATGGGTCAACCTGGAAACCCAAACAACCAGAAATTAATGAATGTTTCCACAAACAACCACTTGCTATGTAAAGGATCTCAATTGCCCTGTTGGAACAACCATGTGTTTTTGGTTGTTTGGGGTTCCAGGAAGAAATGCGGCTGTGTTAGCCAGTGTTCCATAGGCTTTCGTACTAGTTCCTTTACCAATGGCCGCGGGAGGCAAATGGAAAGAAACCCTGAAGCTCACCGCAACAGGGTCCAAGACGAAAACAGGGGGGCCCTGCAAGGAAAGCTGGATGTCCAGTTGGTCCAACTGTTTTTGGACGGTTGGTTGGAGTCATTACGGTTCTCAACTGGGTTGCGATGCTATCTGCCTGGGTCTTGAAGCTTCTTCAGCTCTTGCAACCATCTTCAAAAATTCTGACATATTCTGACAGTAGTGTTCATGTCCCTGCTGAAGCAGTTCAGCAGTGTCATCCAGGCCCAATTTGTGTTTTTCTTTCGATGATGGACTCGTTGGTGAAACGTCCAAAGCCTCTGATGCTCTGCGAGGCATTCATTGATAAATGCTCATGTCAGTCAGAGCTTGGATGTAGAGCTTCCGCCACGGTGCCAGCCCAGCAAACGAGAGTTGGGGCATGCGCCACACTTCCATGGCGACCGGTCGGCTGCCCACCGTCAGAGTCGCCTCAAATCTCACCAGCTTCTTCCCATGTCCTACCGATCCGTGTGCGTTGATCGCTTCGGCGTGAACATCCTCCAAGACCGTGGCATTGTCCAGAGTGAAGGCACTGGGGGCGAAGTGGAACATCGGCAAGACCAAGGCTCCAGAGAGGAGCTGCTGTACAAATTCCTTGAAGGTGGCATCGGCCACTAAGTCGGATCCCTGCGTTCCAGGTGACAAGTGCAAGGTGTCTTCGAAGGTGACCTTAAAGAGCCAGGTGGGAAGATCCTCACCCCTGCTTGGCAGCAGAAGCAGCAGAGAGATCCACCTCCAGATCGCCATGAGACTTCTCCACCCCCTTCTTTTTGTCCACCTACTACTGGACTTGTACCGAAATGGCTCGAGGGTCACAACAGTCGAATGGTACATGTATCGAGCACTACTTTTACAATGAAGCAAGTTCTTCAAAAAATGACTTAGTTTTGTCAATAGAGCTGTGTATTTTGTGCCGCTGCGCTGAGCCAGCATGTGCCGTAGCCCCTTGAACAAATGTCACTGGGTTTCAGGAAAAAGAAGGTGCAAAACGCCAGGACAAGAACCCCTGCCCCAATCAGCCCCAATCATCTGAACCTGTGAGTAAAGAAGCTCGAAGCGAAAGGGAGGTCCTGGGTTCCTGGGCTTCAGGCTGCTTCAGGGTTGAGATCCACATACACTGCCCCACCAAATAGACTTTCGAAGAGGAAAGTAGTCGAACATCTCATGTTGCCCATCTGATGTTGTCAACTTGTCAACTCATACCTCTCACATGTGGTCCATCTCAAGAACATCATTGGAGACAACATCTTCACCATTCTCCTAAGATCTCCCAAGCATGCCAGCTCACCGGCTTCAGCGTGAAGAGCAGCTGCGTGCCACGCTTCAGGGAGGGCCCGTCCGTCAGGGCCGTGGCAAAGGCCTCGAGTGCCTGGCACTGTTTCTGAGGAGTGGTGCCGAGCAAGATGATCGAACCCCTTTCCCCACGTCCCTCTTAGCTGTTTTTCCTTAGCCTTAGCTGTGCAAGCACTGCCATTGCTTGGCGGAAATACCGGCGATCTCTCAAACCTTGGGACCCTTCCACGGCCCTTCCGCCGCTGGGCCGGGCCGCACCTCATCCGCCTCAGCCGAAGCAGCACGCTGAAGGAGGCGAGGCTTCAAGGATTCCTTCAAGCCCTCCGTGAGCTTGTGCTTGGTCCTCGGCCAATCGCCACAACGCCCCCGGTCTAGTTTGGCAAAAAAAGCTTGGGCCCAAAAGCTCCGGGAAGGTGTATAGTGGCCCCCAAAGAGATAGAAACGATTAGAAACGGTTTCCAATACCTTTTGAAAGGGATTTTACTTTCCTATATATCTATTTGGGGGTCTATACAGGTCTTTTATGCTTTTTTTATGTCCCTTTGGGGACTTGGAGTGACGCTGCTCAGAAACCGAGCCGCACTAATGGCTGCCAGCTGTCAATGTGCTGCTGAGTGACGTGGTTACGAAATGTTGCGAACGTCCACCATCGTGCCCATCATGGGAATGCAAGGGATCTCTTTGGTTATGGTGGTGTCGGTGTAGGGTACTGTGTGATCCTTTTCGGGGGACTTATTAGGGAACCTGAAAACGTACTGGGGCTAAGGAGCAACTACTGAATGGCCCTCTGAACATTCTCATCTTAGTCAAGGGGGGGAAACGGTCCACCGGTCCCCGCTATACCTGCTACTGATCCAACAGTGAGCTTATCCCTATGTCCTTCAATCAGGAAAAATCCATCAAAATCCTGCCCCTGCCATCCCTTACATTTCTACCCTTTCTTACAATTCCTGAGGCGTAAAATGTGGACTCCGTCATTCGGTCTCTCCCCGCCCATCTGACACCAAGCAGCACCAAGGATGAGGTAATCACCTCAGGAGTGCAGAATCCGTGGGCTTTGCCGCTTTTGCCGGCGTTCCTTTTTGCGGCGGTGCATCCCCGACCACTTGTAGTAAAGGGTATCTCCTTCCATGACCATCGGATCTTTTTCCTACTTATATCGTTTGGAATCGTTTGGTGCTTGTCCCGTGACGTTTTTGGGGCGATGCGAACGGCGAACCCATAGGCAAAGGCAAAACACCTTTGCTTCAAGAACACCTCCTCCACCTTTTTTGGTGGAAAGTGTTGATGTTTATGTGTGTATGTATGTGTATATGCATATATATATATATATATGCGATTCTATATATCTCTGTGTGTGTGAGTGTGTGTGTGTGTACTTCACTCACCATCTCCCTGCGTGGAAAGATCCCTTGTGTATCCTTGCGTGAGCCCAAACGACCTCGTCTACCCGACTCGACCAAACGACCTCATCGCTCCTCCTGGGAGAACCTCCGAGGCACCATCCTCAGCGAGCAGTGCCCCGGCGCGTCGCTCATGAGGCGCTTCGCGCTGGGGGGTGGCTCGCTCCAGAGCCGGCTGGAGCCCTCCTGCGGCGAGGGGGTAGAGTTGGACAAGTGTGGCTGTGGGTTTGAAGCGCACCCTGAAGGATGTGATTGGAGGAGCGTTTGGCAATCCCAAACAGAAAGAAACATAAAGAAACTCCCTTTGAAACACGGTCTGTCTCAGATCCTTTCGGTTCCTTCAGGGACCTCTGCACAACTCTTCCATCACCCGCCACTCCGATCCCTGCAAACAACATGCCTCCTCCAGGTCTGAAAAAGTGGATCCCGTCCCTCGCTACCCCCTACTCCGCCCAAACAAACTCTCAAAGCCCCACCCAATGTCCCAGGATCGGTTTCATGTGGAATTCTGCACCGATCGACCACGGAATGAGCGAAAGAAACCGTGAGGGCTGACCCGGTGGGGCTGACCTGCCGCAAGGGCGGAACCCGGTGGGACAACCGATTCCGGGGGGAGCTCTGAGAGCCAAGTCTCCAAATAGAATGCCACGGCGTAGACTTTGAGGCCTCAGAAACAGGCGCTTGGAGATGACCCAGGGCACTGTGAAGTGGAGAACCCGCGATCTTTCCATCAGGGCCCCCTAAAAAAGACACGATCAGCGACTCAAGCCAGCCACTGACCCTTTTCAGAGCTTCATCTAGGGCTCCATGCCCCACTTCCGTCGCACACCTGAGCATCACAGACCACTCCAGGCAGCTGTGATCAGCACAGGAGATCAGGAACACTTCTTAGGATCGATTCTTTGTGCTCCCATCTGGCCAGAAAGATCTACCAACAACCAAAACCACGGGGGGTACATGGTTCACCTGTCTGAGCCATGTAGCCTGGGGCGCAAGAAACCACCTCAAAGCACCCAGAGATGGTAGAAAATCACGGTTTTCAGGAGCGCGGTGGTCTCTTTAATATACAGTATAGCTCAGAAGCTCTGGAAGTGGCAGCTTCTTGTTCCCGGCCTGTAGCCACCAGGTCTTGCTTCCCAATCCGTGTGGGAAAGGAGGCGCCTGGAGCAAGTCAGCTGTCCAAAAACATCGGAGCGAACCAGACTCCACTAGGATTGACCCCACGGAACTTGCTCCGACAATATGGGGTGCCCCGGAGGAAAAGAAATCAACGCCCATCGCATGAAGAGAACAAGAAAAACCATCTGGAGTCATGTCTTGGAACCAGCTCTATGATGCTATGTACATAAGTGTGGTTGCGCGCTTATGTGGCGGTGACTGGCGAAGAAAAAAGGACAAAGCCAATGAGATAAAAACGCTCGTAGATCGAACTTCAAAGGAAGCAAAGGGTCCTGGTTTAGCATACCATCAAAAAGTCACCTCATCCCACCCATGATGTGGCCAGACAAGCCACAACGCACACGCACACAGTTCTGCCTGTGAGGGGCTCCTTCACATCTAAGCAGTCAAAGGCGCCACTCAGCAAGTAAGCCTGGTCTACCCGCCCAAGCACCCGCCCAGTGGCACGAACCTCCTTTCTGAGGGTGGCTTCTTGGGATCTCTTTTCCATCTGAAGCAATACCCCCACAAGTACCCTCCTAAGACTGAATCCTTGGATGGCTGCATCTGATGTTCAGACATTTAATGCTTCCAGGACCACCTCGCACTTCACATGCAAACTCCTTGTCTAAACTCATGTCACCACATATATTGACATTTCCGATTCAATTCCTTCCCACAGTTTTGGACACTTTAGACTTGAGCTTGGTCGGGAGGGGCCTGGAAACCCCGATTGGGTCGTGAGCAAGGCTTGTTTTTGGACTGTCGATTTGGGGGGAGTACCACCAATTCTAGAGCCTTCAATGGAAAAGCTTTGCAAATGGTAGACAGGTGGCCATTTGCCCACAACTATCCAAACCTGCTTAGAAGAGCGCAAAAGAATGGCGTTCAATCCTGACATGTTAAATGACCTAGCGATCCCAGCCCCCCATGAAGTGCACATACACTTGTTTGGTTGAAACATGTTGAAACCCATCCAAGTCCGAACGAACTTGAAAGTGATGGCTTGATGGCCTACCCTTCACGGCCAAATCCAAGCTGATTCTGTCCTAACCTTCACGCGAAAAAGTTACATATTTCAGTGGTTGTGGAGCGCAAGTCTCCAGAACACAGCACCTGCCACCGAGGGCAGGCCAATTCCGAACGCCGAGAACCCTACATCCTCACTGGGGGGGGGAACATCTAAGCACAGAAGCTGCACGGGATGTGAGTCTTAGACAGTCCTTGGGCCGTCATTGGTCGTTCTCAGCCCAGCTGCGCTCAAGCCAATCACCACTGCCCATCGGCCCCAGCGGCCCCACGCAGTCCGTGGGCGCTTCGGTTTGGCACGCGCCGAACGGCGGAAGGGCCAGAACATGGCCGGAGCGCGCCGGGTTCTCGCTACGTACTGAGTGCGGTGGGGGGCTTGGAGCTGGACACTTGGGTGGGCAATACATCCTGAAAAGCAAGAAATCACACTTGAGCTGGACACTTCCGTGAAGTTGAGTGAAGAGTGCACTGACTGATGTTGCAAGGGGTGAGTCTGACGGTAATGGGCAAGGAGCAAGCGGTTTTCCATAAGCGGGATTAGGGGATTTCTCAGCTGCTCGTGCTTTTGCAAAGAGGTCTTCCCAAGTGAAGTGCGGCCTTGGGGGGTGCCTCTCTGCACATGGTGCTTCTCCGCATCACGGCATCCTGAAATTCCAAGAAGCAGCGCTCTCGATCCAAGTGCTGTTCGTGAACACCTCTTCAACTTCCTTTCCTTGTCACCGGCTCCTTTCTGAATACAAATGGACATATAAACCAATTATATATATATATATGTGCAGGAAAAATATACTAGTATATATATGAGGGACGGTCATCGGTTTTGAGTTGGACCTTATCGTTTTACAGTGTTTCGAGTTCGTCCCATACTTATAATAATATACAGCCCTGGGGTTATCGGTTTTGAGGTGGACCTTATCGTTTTGCAGGGTCTTGTGCACAAACCTACCCCTCTTTACTAAAGTGGTCTTCGCATGTTTTGACTGTAGCTCATATATACATTCTATATTTATGTATGTACATTACATATATATATATATAGCAACAATGACCATATTTATCATCATAATAACATATGAGAACAATAAATAACAGTAATATAAAGACTGTGTTCACGCAAAGACCTAGGGAGCACAAATGTGTTGTCGATGTCTTCATGTGGGGCACCCTTGAGCCACCGCCAACTCCAGCTTCCAAATAGTTCCAACGCACCACACCCGATGCAGTACGTGAACCAATACGGGTGACCTGCCTTCTGCAAAGCATCACAGGCCTGCGGGGCTCGTGCAAACAATCTGCAGGCCTGCAGGGCCTTGCGAACTGGTGAGGGTTACATCTTCAAATACTCCCAAAACTGACCCATTCCATTGATCGCCTCATTATTGGCACACCAATGAGCTGGCAGAATAAAAGGTCCCAATTGATCCTAAATATTCCAAAATGGTTCAAAGGTCCGAGTTTGTCCAAGTTCATCTTACATTTGGTCCAGGGCATGAGCCCCACGAGCCCCCGCATCTCGAGCGTGACATCGGAGCGCGGCTCGGGAGGTTCGGCTGTCCCACTGGCGTGGTGTCCATCCCAAAGACTTGCCTGATACAGCCAGAGTTTTGCTTGGACAAATCCCTCGGTTCCGAGGGTCTCTGGCACTTTGGCTTCACCAAAGACATGAAGAAAGCAAAAGGCACACCATCTTGCAACCTCTGACAAGTTCTTCCTGGCTCTCGATTGCGTCCTCCCCACGCACCAAATGAACGCCGGCCCAGCCCACCTTGGCTTTGACGTTCTCCACGTCCAGCTGAGCCATATCTTCCCGTGGGGGTGCCTTCGGCAAGGCCTTCGCCTCAGCGATGAAACAATGAGACTTCTCAAAAGCCTCAGCACAGTGGAAGTTTGTCATGTAGAGTCAGCAGTTCCCGAATGTAGACACTTGCTAAATATAAAACCCCACCCAGTGGGATTTTACAACCTCTTCAGTCTTCTGGTGGATTTGATTGATCAAGTCTACAAATACAAAAGCAGGATGCGAACTTCAAACCACACCTTCACACCGCTTCGGGCTCCGGACCTCTGGTTCCGGCACCCGCGAGTTGCCATCCTGGAGAAGAACGGGCATGCCGTTTTGGAAGACATCGTTCTGGGATCTGACGCATCAGGAGTTCGGAGCTATGACTTCCCACCCGACTAGAACTGGTTGAGTGAGCGAGCAACGGCTCAACCCCACAGAATACGCATTGGAGGGGACTCCAATTCAACCAAGTTCTGCGGTGGATTGAAGCCGCCTCCTTTTGGACCTGTTCTTTCCTGGTGCTGGTCTTTGTGCCGCACACATGGACACACACATGGTCTTTGCACGTGCCATGGCAGTCCTCCATACCCAAGGCCTTCACCAAAGCATCTGCAGCCTTCGCCTTAATGGCCTGAATCTCCTGAAGGTGTCCACATGGGGCCCTCACATGGGGTGCAACACATGACTCAGCAAGGAAAGGCCTCAGACACCCTGTCAGCCACCATGGTCAAGCAAAGCTTGGATCTTGCAATACGATCTTTGAGAGAGGTGACTCACACTGGTGCACATTGAATTGGGGAGACACCCCAAAAAGACCCGGAAGAGGAAACAGCCAACCAAGACCCAAGCGGTTGGAGGTTCTCCCTAGTAGTCCAACGTACCTTAAACACGGGAAAATGTCGTCGTTGTTGTTGTTGTTGTTGTTGTTGGTGTTGTTGTTGAGACGACTCACGGCTGCAGCCGTAGCCGCAGTCTAGGGACACAACCTCCCCCGGCAAATCGCAGGAACCCCTGCGCAAGCCACGGGAAAATGCTCTCACGTGAGGTGCCAAACACACGGCATGTGTGTCGCTGCTGGCGCAGCCACAGCCAAACAGCCAGCATCCTGTGCGTCTGAGACCATGTTCTGTTCCGCAGCCCACTTGGACATACTCTCCACCACCTGGCACTCAACTGATGAGTTTGAGCATCGCAAAGAAGAAATGCCCATTAAATCGCGGCTTGGCAAACGTGTGGACAGATCGTATCTCCCATTACCAATAGGTGTTTGCAGTATGCTAGTTTGTTTTGAGGCACGAGGGTCGGATTGAGCAACAGCAGAAGAAGAGAATCTTCAGAATGTCCAAAAGACTTGGACTGACTGACTCACATGAAATGGGAACAAGACACAAAACCCTTAACATCTTTAACTGGTCTCCATTAGCGCGGTGCGTCAACGATCCCTCACTTCTTCACGCCTCGGCACGGGACTTCAAGGCACTCTCGAGGCGGCCATCGGCACAAGCCGCCAGTAAGGTGTCCTGAAAGAAGGTGGATCCAGTTCAGCCCGGCCGAAAGCGATCGGCCAAACCATGTAAAAACATGCGATCGAAGGCGCGAAAGAAACGACGAGGTACCGGCACAACTTTCAAGATGTTGGTTGTTGGGGCTTGGGGGCAATACGTCCGATCGTTGGCGATGTTCTCCTCATAGCTGGCCATGAGTGCAAAACCTTCCAACCCTAGCTCACTTGGCTGGCTTGGGTCCAAGTCTCATGCTATTGTCTAAGTCTAGCACCCATTTAGGGCACGGCAAGCCATTCTACTCCTGCGACCCCCAACACGAAGCCTTCTCCACTTCTCCACCCAGCTCCGGTGTTCTGGGGATGTGCCATCTCGATTCGGTGAGAAAACCTCCGGTCTGACCCGAGGGCCACGGCAACGGCCGCTGCCCACCCGGACGTCCTTGGCTGCTAGGCGCAAAGCCTCCCACACGTCGTGCTGGGTGGGTTTGGGGTCAGTTGGGCTCTTGAGGCTGTTGAGAGAAGAACTCCTGGTAGAGAATTTGGTCCATCAACTGTAACGTGGGGCCGTCTCTTTGATCTGGCGGGTTTGATTGATCATTCTGGCTTGGGCTTTGACATGCGAAGCACCGCTCACCGGCTTCTACAGTAGCCTCTCTCCGCTTTAGAATGGGGAGTGAAAGACTCCATGCGCTGGGCCGAATCAGGTTTTGATGACCTGTGGCACTACCTATGACTAACTGCAACCCGCCCTTCCACAAATATCCCCAGTCGAACCAACGCTAAGCATGCTGTGACGTTGTAGGATGTTGTGCACCAGGTGGGTATGGTCATTCTCCTCTTGACCTGCGAAGCCCCACATTCAAGTCAATCCCATCTGCACAGCCGAAACGTGGCCCCCAAAGGAGCACTCACGTGGTGGTCTCAACCACACCACCCACAAGGGCTGCGGCCTCCACATCCATCTCAGCCTGGAGAACACTGAAAACGAGACCAATTCATGATGTTCCGCAACCGCAGCCAGCCGTTGGAGCCATCAGCAAGTCATTTGACCCTCAGCAAGTCATCAGCGTCACCTCCAAACCGTCCAATCCCTGCGTTCGCCGGGCCTCCTTGGACAGGGTCTGGCCTTGCTTTTCGGGGCGTTCGGTTGGTGGGAGCGCGGCGGGAACGCATGCTTCAGCTTCCAACCACGTCAGGCCGTTTCGACCAAACAAGATCCCCGGTCCCCAAATGGACCACCTTCACTGTTTGTTCGTACATCGGCCAAATTTAGGTTTGAAGATAAGGCTTTGGACACAGCATTTCAGAACTGGATTCAATGAGCTGTCACCATTGATCCTGAGTCAATGAAACCATCTTTCACACAGGGTCTCTGGTGTGAAAGGCCCCTGGTCTTCTTGAAACCGCTCGAGGACAACCGTGCGCTTGGGCCGACAAAGCGGAAGACATGCCTCATTCGATCACCGCGGTCCATCACTATCACTATCGGTTCCAGCTTCACATCACTAGCCATCCCGAAGTATCTCTCACCATTAAAAAAACTGCAACAAACCGCTTGAAAACGGAGGATGAAGCATTTGACGGCATGTCTACATACTTTATTCCCAAAGAGAAGGGAAGCTCCCATGAACAACTCCAAGCGCAGAACACGTCCCTTTTTTCTCAAGCTCCATCCGAAGCGGGTTGTCCGGACCCATCATCCGCATCCGAACCCACCGAAGCCCCAAACCGGTCCATCCAAGGAGCTCAGTGCTTGGGCCAAGCGCCCATCCAAGGCTGCCTCCTGGTCAAGCCGGGAGGTCGTCATCCAAGGCCGTCACTGCCGCCGACCAGTTTCCACACCGCCATCGCCAGCAAGCCCATGCCCCAAACCCGTGGGTCCTAGGTCCTAGATGGTGTCGGGCCCGTGTTTCAAATCGGAGTCCAAAACTGACCCAAAGCGACGCTGGAACGTGACGGAGGCCAATGAACCATGCTTGAGGTATACAGTATATGGACCATCTCGCCCCATCTGCGGCTCTCGCGTCACCTCGCGACGTTC